GAGAGATTAATTTTTCACCAAACTCCCAAAACAATAACTATGCAACTCGACAAAGTATGTGTATCCTATCACTAAAAAAATGAACAATTCAAGCAAATTAGATCATTGTTGCATGTCAAAAATGGCACCCTAATCCCAATCTGCAAAAAAAGTAAATTAAAAGCTTTAGTAATTAATCAATTTGCAATTAGATCAATTATACAATTTATCCCTTAATAGACTTTTTTCGAGATTATGGGAACAAAAAAATAATTTTAAGGCTAATTCACAAAAGAGCATCCCATTAATGTGTTCGTAAGTTCAATACAACTTATATGGTCCTCCTAAGGTGTTTCTAATTGGTTCCTGTACAAATCTGTGGTTCTGTGATAATTTAGCCTTTCGACTACCTTTTTTGAAAGCTTTAAGTATAGAGAAAAAAAAGTACTTTTTAAACTAATTCACATACTAAAATTGGGTGTCCTATGCATGTTTCCACTTACTTCTTAATTCTTCAAACATATATTCTTTTATAAAATTTATTATATTAAAGTTAATATACTTTACCAAGAAGTATGTCCACTTGTGGATGAGTCCCCTCCACTTCCCAAAGTGTCCAGTGAATCCTTTGCTCCTTAGAAAGTTTTATGACATCTGCCATTATCTCCCCTTGCTTCTTCCTACCCTTCTTCAAGATCTTCTATTTTATTGTTCTACATTTGTAATTTGTTCCTTCTGTGTCTCTATTTGCATCTCAAGGCATTTCACATAATCATTTGTTTCAACATATATGGTAGTGGTCCCTCCTAATAGAGGATGAAGGTCTCATGCTAAGTCCCTTCATGTAGCCATACCTGGCTTTAGGACTTTGATTGACAACTCTTTCTGCAGTCAAAGGGATTGATCCCAGTTGTGAGAGGTGATAAGCCTATGTCTGTATCATATTTTCCTATCAAATATTAAAAACTTAAATAATTAATTAGAAAATTAAATAAGTTATAACAAATATATTCTAAAGTTTCGTTAATAAAAATTGCATATATACTCACATAATTACCCTAAGTTTAAACGAGATACACTTATATGTTTTCTCATTATAGTGAGTTTCCTTGTAAAAACTCTATTTAGATTAGGTAGCATCTTCTTTTCTCATGTCTAATTTGATAGACACAAAGATTCAAATAAATAAAGCTAAGAAATCTAATATAATTCTTAAGTGCAAGGACCACATACCAATTTTTCTGCTCTAACAGGGATTGACCTAGAACCACACACTATGTTTTGTATTCAATCTTTTCGTTGTTTGCGATGTTGGCTTTTGATTGTTCCTATAAGGAAGAATGACCAATATAACATGAAATGTATCATTAGTAAGACAAATATGTTGGCTTTTGATTGTTCCTGTAAGGAAGAATGAACTAATATAACAATGAAATGTATCATTACTAAGACAAATTTAAATGCTTGATAAATAAAGTAACATAAAAATGTTAGGGTAAGTTATATGGAAACCAATATAAGTTCAAACTGCAAAGTATTCAAGAAAGCAACAATACCACAACCACAATACACAAAATTATGTGACACCTAGATAAGACAGATTTGACACATTATTGGTAATAAAATTTACACAATCAAAATGAGATTTGAAACTGATGCATGCCAATTATCACATAATATGCTGTTCCAAAACTCAATAATCTACATGCTAGGATACTAGTTTACATTCCTAGAAGGAATTGCATTGTCCATCTCTATTCTTTTCCTATATATCATTTCAACTAAAAGATATTTCAAATTATTCACTAGTAATCATTCAATTTCTTTGAAAAATAGATTAGAGGACTTGTTGAGACTTCATCATAAGAATGGTTTTTCTAGGTGAAAAAAGAAAAACGAGAAATTTACAACCGTTCACAAAATAGGGGGCATATAAGCATGGGCAAGATAGATTTGTGAAAAAACCCATTTACATTTCACAATATATGGAACAATTACTGATATTAAACTCATAACCTTTTCTTTCTTCCACAACTCTATCAAATCTCAAATTTTGTCTCAATACCTTTATTAGTTACTCAGCTAGCCACTTACCATTATCGAAACTTCAGACCAAACCCAAGAACAAACAGGAAATAGTAAAGGTACACCACCAAGCCAAATACTCTACAGTAGCTGTACACGATTGACTATCCTAACTCAAAGCATGCACTTTATGGTTCAAAGAAAAGTTTTCTACATAAATACAATCATAGAAACTGAAATCTTAGTTTTTTATTCTAAGATGTGAAAGGTGCACTTTAAGGATATTATGTGAGCCTTTCAATCCATGTTTACTGGTTTCCCTTTCTCATTTTCCCACTTATTTTGTTTTTTATGTTCCACTTACATGCCTAGAAAATAAAGGAAAAGAATACATATGGAATTTCACAGCAAATTGATTGTGTTCTTTCTAGTTTTTTTTTTGAATCTCTCCCTATTCTAATCAAATTCTTCTATGCCTAATACAATAAAAAGACGAAAAAGTTACCAAAAATCTCTTAGTGTTCACTTTTTATCAATAAGATCTATCCACTTGGTAGGATCGACATCCTTTAGTGGGTGATATTTTTGCATACTCCTCCTCTTTAGCTTCCTTCAGCTCCATGAATTGTTTGTGCAGCCTATAGGTATGGTTACTCGATCTCCGACCAAATTTTGTGTTCATTGCCTTTTCTATATCAACAGGGTCTCCTTGTAAATCAATTGATCTTGCAAAAATAGATAAGTCATAGATATATAGTCATCAAAACCAAAACCTACCACAACACAATATCGTCTGATCAAAATACAGACGATTATAGGAATGAAAGTATATTTGTACTATAACCAATCAGATTTTTTTAGCCACCATCTCTTTAAATCTTCTCTCTCCATAAATGATGAAGCCATAGTGCTATTGTCATGACCCGAACCCGCCCCTATAGATTAAGGTCATAACAGCTAATAATCATGAGATTACCTCAGCCTCAAACAGAAATCAATTTAAAATTAATAATATAGGGCTAGACGCGAAAGCAGATTTAAAAATTTTGTCCAGTAAGCTGTGCTTACATGGAAATCAAAACATTTCCATATACTTATTAATAACTCACACCACATATAAGTAGTTAACATCTTGTACACTCAGGATCATTCAAACACATAGTCAGCTATACTAAAGCTTATACACATAAGGTCTATCATGAGCAATGAGAATAACAAAAGAAATATAAGAGATCATAAACAAAGCCTCTTGCGTGAGGCACTTGGGCTAACTCCACAAAAAACTTGGGTTCCTTTTTCAAACTCCACTAAGGCTGGGGTTGAACGTCCCTTTACTCACCTACATATATATAATAAGATTGAGCTAGCGCCCAGTGAATAATACCAAAGTAAAGGAGTTACATGAATAAGATTCATATTAAGTACATCGAACCCGTAAATTTCAATAATACACGGCCTTGGGCCCATTCTGTGTTTTTTGTTGTACATATCAAACGGCCTCGGGCCCATATAGATCCTTAACAAACATATCAATAGGCCTTGGGCCCATTGTATAACTTTTTCAGATTCTCAAACAGCCTCGGCCCAATTTAAACACTTAAAACATATCAAACGGCCTTGGGCCCAATTCAAACACTTCGAATGTATCAAACGGCCTCAGGCCTATTCTCTTCATGTTCATATCTATGTGCATTTCATATTCATGATCATGATCACCTTTTTATTCAAACAGCCTTTGGCCCATTACATTCATATTCAAACGGCCTTTGGCCAATCATAATATTCAAATGTATCAAATGGCAGCAGGCCTAATTCATACATATCAAATGGCCTCAGGCCCATTTCATACATATCAAACAGGCTTGGGCGCAAATCGTGTTCTTCGTAGAGTCTTATACAAAAATTAGGCATATAGAATACTCATTCATAATTCAAATTAACAAATCCATGAAGCTTATACAGAAGTAGCATTTGGAAGATAACATACTTGAAAATATCTTTACTAAGATATTACTCACAGTGTTCGGAGTGTTGATTCGTCTTCATGGATGCTCCTACACAATTCATAAACATACACAAAATCGAATCACAATGCTATTTAATCCGCTCCTTAACTTGTTTAATTCTCTTAAGGCTCCTTTCAAACCTTTTAATTCATTTAGAATGCACATGTATGCCTAAGAGTGTTCAAATCATGAACTTGCGTGGTTTATCCACAATTTCAAATAATACTTAGAAATTCTTTCAAAAACATGGATTACAAGGTTCATGCTCAAAGGATGAAATTCAACGTTCAAATCAAATAAATCTTTCCTCTCTTTCCTAATCATTTACTTATTTTTTTTCTTAGCTTTTGGTCCTCAAGAAGTCATAATTCATGCTTAAGAATATCCGGAAAGAGATGGGAATGAAGATATGTGCTTAAAACATCTTTTGAAAACATGCTGAAAACAAGTTGTTGGCTAGAGCCAACTTTTGGTCACTAGAGCTAGCTGAAGGCAAAAACTGAGCTTGCTCGAGCCACCATTTGGTCACTCAAGCCAGCTTTTGTAGACTGAAAAATACTAGGAGCTCGCAATGTTGGCTCGTGCTACCACTTGGTCGTTTGAGCCAGCTGTGAATTTTCTGGGTTTCAAGACAGCAAATTTGAGTTCCAAAAAAATAAAATACATAACATGTTAAAAGCTTGCATGGCCATTCCAAACTCATGAAAACACTTTGATAATCATAAAAACATTTTAGAAAACTCAATACAAGATCATCCATAAATCATTTTCTCAAAACCTTATGAATTTACCAAAATTGAACTCAAATCTTCAAGCATGTGAGATTAATTTCAAAAACTCTTTTCATGACTTTCCAAAATAAAAATTAAGCTTCCAAGACTTATGAAACAATGATGCATGTGCAATATAACTTCCAATTTCATCATGAATCATATAATTCAAGCCCAAAATGATAAAATTCTACATATTCATCTTCTAAATTCAACATGGATGACAAGGATCATGCTCAAGAGTATGAAACTCTTCCAATTCATGAATTCATGTATTTCAAACCTTTAAGACTTAGAAAACATGAATGCATGTAAGTAACATTCCCAATTCAACATGATTATACAAAGTTCATGTCCAAAACTTGAAGAATCAAAAGCAAATACTTGCATGCATGTACAATTTGATCTCAATTCCTACAATCTTTGTTCAATTCACACATTTAATCTTGTTATCTTCTTAAATCCACAATTTAATGACTTAACTCACAAATTGAGGTTCAAACTCTTACCTACTATCTTCAATGAGGCTAGGTTTAGCAATTCTTGAGCCTGACTTCCAAATTCTTCAATCCTCTAAGCCAATTCCTCAAGATTGAGCTCCTCTCTATCTAAGATGAAGATTTCTCTCTCTATACATAGCTTAATCTCAACAAAATGGTGAAGATGAGCTCAAAATTATGAGCCTAGGCACTAGCTCAACATATATATAGTGGGTGCTTAGCTTAAGCTATATTAGCATGATTAAGACTAATCAACCTTACTTAATTTAATTCAATTTAATCTAATTAATTTGATCTGAATAATTTTTTAATTAAATTTCATCGTAGGCTCTAAAAATTACGCTGATCATGATAAATTAATCAATTTTGGTTTTTGATGTCTCTAACGCCCTTAATTCTAGGATTATAGCAGAAATTGTAATAGATATGTCTACAATCAATAGATAGGCATTAAAAAATCACATAAAACACATAATTAACATCAAATTTCATATCAAGCACATTAACACTCATTAATTAATGAGTTAACCGTATAATACAGAAACGGGGTTGTCACAACTATAGTTGGTAATTTCTAATTGTCTATGGTAACCACAACCCCAGCTGGTTTGTGGTCCAACTAAATTTGCAATTCAATTTATTATTTCATGATTTGGCTTATTGTAGGCCATTGTGTATTAAGGAATCTGCCACTTACGATCATCTCCCTTCAGAACCGATAGCTTAGTTTATTTAACAGAGAACAAAGAAAATCCAAGCACTTTAGACCCATTAGAAAACATACGAACAACAGAAACAAAATGAAAATATTAGTGAAAAAAAATTAAATGCTAGCTAGGGTTCATAATGGGGAGAGGGGAAGAGAGATACATGTGTACCTTGAGAATCCCTTCCAATCAGATTGTCGAAGAATGCTTCAGCAAAGAGCCGGTCCCTCTGCCGTTGGTTACAATGGTAAGCAAACTAGAGAAAGAGCAGAGGTAACAAGTGAGACAAAAGAAATTTGATGGTCTTGAAGATCCAACCCCTTCAACTTCTCAGCCCTAAAAAGAAAAGAAAATTGTCTTTTAGATGTGTTAATTGTTCTATTTATTAGATTGTGAGGAGTTTTTTTTTTTTTTTTTTTTTTTTTGTCTACAATGGGCCCAAAAATCTTTTTTTTTTTCTTTTAAGACCAAATAATTTGTCACCAATCACCAATTTTGGGCGCCGTTTTTTTTTTTTTTTTTTTTTTTGTTGGCGCCAAATATTTGGCTTCTTTTTGTGACAAAAAAAAAATTTCCTTACCAAATTAAAATTTTCATCTCCAAAAGAAAACCCCTTCTTTTGATTTTTTATGACAAAATTAAAATTTTTTTTTTGGTTTCATTTTTTGAAAACAGTTTTTAAATTAATTGCAAGCCTTAGTGATTTTTTTTAATATTTTAGTCACTTTTTTTTTTAGTTGTACATCTAAAAAGTAAAAAATAAAAAATTAACTAAATATGAAAACAGTTCAACAAAGACAAACAAAAACCCGTTTAAAAATAATTTATGATAAATAAATAAAAATTTGAAGTTCAAAAACTAGCTGTCACGCCCCGTTTTTTATTGCTCAAATTCCATTACCAAGCCATTATTATAGATTCAATTTCAAAGATAACATACGAAAACTCTTTACATTTATAAGAACACATGAATAAAGATTCTCTCATTCGAATACAATATGAATGCAACGGGAGTTATAATTAAATAAATTTCCTGTAGGCTTACATCTTTAAATTAAGAGAAATGATTTAATCATTTTACATCAATGGCATTCCGCCCACAAATAAAGGCCCCATGGCTAATAGGTAAAGGAGATCCATGACCTTGAAACACTTTTTTGACGTTCACCTGAAAAAGGATTATCAACGTGGGATGAACATAAAGTCCAGTAGGGATTTCAACATGATTCTAAACAATAACAACATACAGATAACTATGATCATGAATGCATAGTCTCATACTATATAAATAATGTGACAGTTTATAACCAAAGAATATTTACATAAGTACTTTTCCCAAATTTATTCAATTCCTTCAACAATACAGACAGTTCACATTTCCTTTTCATTTCCCATTTCAAAAATATCTCATAACAACCATTTTGTTTTGGAGTTTGAAACATGTTCATAAATCTCTTATTTCCTTCTCATTATTTACGAACTCAACACATGGTCTACATCATTTTCCAACACATTCAAATATATAGATGTACATCTAACACGAAAAATGAAAACAATAAGCACCCAATAACTATCTACTCAACATATGAGACAACTCGCCATCTTGAACCATAACCATCATAATGCATGATATACACAGGTACACTAAGATAATAATGAAAAATAACCTTTGCTCTACCTGTTTTAAGCACGGTAAGCAAGGATACACCTTTTCCATAACGAAATGCTAATTTACTAGACACCAGCTAGAAGGTAATGGTACCTCTGCCAAGTTCTCCAGGCGCTAGCAGGAAGGTACTGGTACCTCTCATTCTAAGCGCAGCCAATTCTCAGGCGCTAGCTGGAAGGTAATGGTACCTCTTATTCTCAGCGCAGTATACGCTACCAATCATCACAACATGACAAGTACAACTAGCACAAGTGTAATGCATACACATACACTATTCAACGCAACAATGTCATCCTCCATCGATGACCAAGCACTACAGAAAAAAAAGCACTACTGGCGACTAAAAAATCACATTTCATTGCTGAAGTATATAGCATTTAGCGACTAAAAATGCATTAGTAGCCAAAAGTAAAGATTTTTGGCGACTAAAAAATTTAGTAGCCAAAAGTATAGGTTTTGGCGACTAAAAATCTGTTTGGTCGCCGATATATGGCTTTTAGTGACTAAAAAATTTTAGTAGCCAAAAGTAAGGCCTTTTGGCGACTAAAAAAAATTAGTAGCCAAAAGTAAGGCATTCGGCAACTAAAAATCTATTTGGTCGCCAAAAGCGAGGCTTTTGCCGACTAAAAAATTTTAGTAGCAAAAAATAAGGCCCTTTGGCGACTAAAAAAAATTAGTAGCTAGAAGTGAAGCATTCGGCGACTAAAAACAGGTTTAGTAGCTGAAAGTGAGGCTTTTTGGCGACTAAAAAGAAGTTTAGTCGCCAAAAGTGGTAATTTTAGCGCGAAAAATAATTAGTAGCCATAAGTATAGAATTGGCGACTAAAATTATGTTTAGTCACCAAAAGTGGTGTCCTTTTTTTTTCTACTAAATATTTATTATTTTTACATAAATTATGTTCAATAAAAAATAATTATGTTTATATATATACTTTTATATTAATACGGTGTCTAAGTACTATATAAATAATATATGTTGCATATATAATCATATGATGCTATGGAGGCGTAGTGGAAAGAGTGTGTTGTATAAGGTTTAAAAGAGTGTGTTTGTATAAGTTTATGGTTTGGGAGGTTGATGGTTCGATCTCCACAAGAGTAGGGCGTAATTTTTTTTTTTCTTTGGTTTATGGTTTGGGAGGTTGATGGTTCGAATCTCCACAAGAGTAGGGCGTAATTTTTTTTTTTTTCGGAATGAGCTTTTTGCGACTAAATCTGTTTGGTCGCCATTTAGTCGCCAAATGTATAATTTAAAAAATATAATTGACTATTGGCGACCAAAGTTTTAGTCGCTAAAGACTGCTTTTTAGCGACTAAAAGTTTTTTAGTCGCCAATACCTTTCCCGACCGTTTTCCAGCGACCAAACCGGCGACTAAAAAATTTAGTTGGAGAAACTTAAAAACCGACTTTGGGCGACTAAAAATTGACTTTTGGCAACTAAATCTTGTAGTGAAGGAAAAAACCTCTAAATGTGTGTACTCAACACACGTATTATAATAATCCAACTCTCATGAGATTTTAAATCCAACAATAACAATAGTAAAATAAAATATTCATAATCCAACCTCAAGTTCATTTATGAATTCACATAGTGTTATGATTTCATTCTTTCTTTTCAAAAATCAATTCTCTTATTTTCCAAGTTAACATACTCCACTCTTTATCCCCAATCCATTCTTTTCATTTCACAAAACTAAATCCATGGATATCAAAGCCACACCCCAACTCAACTCTCAACTTAATATGATCAATCCAAAATAATTCCAATGCCGTAGTTAATTCTCCCTTTTAGCTATTAACACATTTACACAAACCATAATAACAATTTACAAACATTATTCAACTTTACCCCTTTTTAATTCACCAAGTCAAAACATTAAATTAGGACTTTTTCTCCCTTTTAACAAAAATATGTTAGACTACTCTCCAATTAACCCAAACAACAATCAATTTAACAATCTCATTCACAAATAACAAACCCTAGATCCCTTTTCATGACTTTTATAGAAATCCATAATGGATATGATTTTTATGCAATAAAATCTACCACATATCTATCTATAGATGTGGTATTAAAAAGGAGCAAAGAAATCCCTACCTCAAGATTCGAAGCTAAAGATGAAAACCCAACTTGAAACTCCAATGAAATCGCAAAACAATCGGTAGAAGTCTTGATCTATGCTTGGTCTTCAACCTTCTTGAAAAATTTGGGGTGAATCATAGGTAAAAAGAAGAGAAATCAAGAGTTTGGATGGTTAGGGTTTCGGGTTTAGAGGATGGGAGGAGAAGAAAGGGAGAAAAATAAAGTTTTAGGGCCAGAAATTCACTTATAATGTTTGCTAGCGACCTGGTCGCTCGAGTGAAGGAAGCTTGGCTCAAGCGTAGAAAAGAAGCTCCCAGAATCTCTGAAAATTACACAGTTCGCTCGAGCAAAGAAAAGCTCGCTTGAGTGAGCATGTTTTCAGTATAGAAACTCAAAATTCAAATAGGTGTAACTCTCTCGTTTGGACTCCGTTTAGGGTCGTTCTTGTGCCCAAATTGAAGCCCCGAAAGTAAGCTTTCCAATGATTCTAGCCTCACATCAAGTTCAAAGTATGGAGAGAGAAAATGATGAAAGAGTGAAAACTACTCAATAACAATTATTTAAATTTGGAGTTTCTGAATCAATCTCACCCAACCACTATGGTAACACCTCAACTAAGGCTCAAATATCAACTAAGAAGGTTCTCAATCAAGATAATCAAAGAGTCAAATATAGTTCCATTATAACAGGAAGCACAGAGTGCTACACTAGCGAACAATAATATGAAAAACAATCAAGGAGTTATTTGTTTTTTTTAGATACACTTAATTTAAGTATACTTAAAAAGTAAAATATTTATGAAAAAAATCAAAAGAAAATCAATTCCATGTACTAAATTTTTATATATATATTTTTGTACGTAGTGAATTTTTTATAGTGTTTTCATAAATTTTGCACCTTTTAAGTTTGTCTAAAGGGAAAATTACACAGGTGGTCCCTATACTTTGTCTTTTGTGTCATTTTGGTTCCTACACTTTCAATTGGCACAATTTTGACCCTTAATTTTAAATTTTGTGTCAATTTGATCCAGTGATAATGTCATTAGTGTTTTTAAATGAAAATAATCACTGAAAAACAATCAAGGAGTTATTTGTTTTTTTTAGATACACTTAATTTAAGTATACTTAAAAAGTAAAATATTTATGAAAAAAATCAAAAGAAAATCAATTCCATGTACTAAATTTTTATATAAACAATCAAGGAGTTATTTGTTTTTTTTTGCACCTTTTAAGTTTGTCTAAAGGGAAAATTACACAGGTGGTCCCTATACTTTGTCTTTTGTGTCATTTTGGTTCCTACATTTTCAATTGGCACAATTTTGACCCTTAATTTTAAATTTTGTGTCAATTTGATCCAGTGATAATGTCATTAGTGTTTTTAAATGAAAATAATCACTGAATTGATTGCAATTAACTCATTGAGGTTAGTAAATTTATAATTTTCTATAAAAAAAAGAAAATATGAAACATGCCATTTATATGGCACAAGGATCAAAGTACCGGGACAATTACTGCAATTTGCCCTTATCTAAATTAAAGGGATCTAAAAAGGAAAAAAAGGAAAAAAATTATAATA